GATGTACTTCACGAGCAGGCTGAAAGACGACGCTCCGTTTAACTCTACAATGAGCAACGCGACAACGGGAGAAGCTCGCAATGTGCTCGAGTCTATGTTTAACAACATCATGACGCTTTGTGCCATGGTGCCTCTGCTCATCTTTACCTGTCTCAATTCTTTCATTCATCGGATGATTCCACAGAACCTGCGAATCTCAGGCGGTTTAACCGTRATCCTGCTGGTTTTCGTGCTGACYGCGGTGTTTGTCAAAGTGGAAATGGAGCCTTTGCCRTTCTTTYTCCTCACTATGATCAAAATTGTCTGCGCGAACTCGTTTGGGGCGATTTACCAGAGCAGTTTGTTTGGACTGGTCGGGATTTTTCCCGCKTCATACACCACCTCCGTCATGAGCGGACAGGGTCTGGCCGGGGCCTTCGCTGCTTTCTCTATGATCTGCACGCTGGCTACTAAATCRAGACTGCAGGACAGTGCCTTTGGTTACTTCATCACAGCCTGCGTTGTTATTCTTTTGGCCATATTGTCTTATTGCYCTCTGCACAGAATAGAGTTCTTCCAGTACTACATAGAGGAGAGTAATGGATCTAGAAAATGTACCCACGATGAAGACAGCAAGATGGATTTGATCGAAAAAGAAAAGCGACGACCGGACACGAATATCATAGAGGAGGAAAATAGACCGGTTGTTGTTTCTGTGTTTAACATCTTCAAAAAGATCCGGGTGATGGCTTTGTCGGTCTGCTTCATCTTCCTCGTCACCATTGGGGTTTTTCCATCCGTAATCGCCGAAGTCAAGACAACGGTGGYAAACGGAGGCGTCTGGGAAACTTATTTCATCCCCGTGTCGTGTTTTCTCCTTTTCAATGTGATGGACTGGGCCGGCAGGAGTCTGACCGCCGTCTGCATGTGGCCGGGAAAGGACAGTATCTGGCTCCCTATGCTGGTGGGCCTACGCGTCGTCTTTGTCCCGCTCTTCATGTTGTGCAACGTCAACCCTCGTCGCCACCTCCCCGTGTGGTTCGCTCACGACGCCTGGTACATCATCTTCATGTTTTTATTCTCCTTCTCTAACGGGTACCTGGCCAGCCTCTGCATGTGTTTCGGACCAAAAAAGGTACCGCATCATCAGGCAGAGACGGCCGGGGCCATCATGGCCTTCTTTTTGTCTCTCGGCTTGGCGCTGGGTGCTGCGATCTCTTTCGCTATCCGGGCTGTAATATAACGTCTGGTTTGTTTATTTGTGTGTAAATAAAGACTTGTTTCTGTTTATAGTTTTGAATTGTTTCTTGAGTTTTTTTTTTCCAAGCGTGCCCGAAAATCGCGCCCGTTTTCGCTCGAGCCGCCCGAGGGCGGTCGCCGAACGCCGGGGGGAACTGTTCACCCCATCGGGCCTCGGTATAGAAGGGGAGAGGCGTTTTTAAAACGCCCCCCATCAACGATGGGTTGGGTTATCCCTGGTGCGAGCGGAGTCACACCGCGACCGGTGCGCGGGGTCCCTCGGACCCCCGTCACGCGACCGGGCGTGTCAATGTGATGCAGGGGGGTCGTTTCGGATTGGTCACGTGACCGGGTACACACACACACACACACACACACACACACACACACA